GCGCCCACCCAGGGCTGCTGAGCCTGCTCTGACCTCCCGCGGGTCAGCGGTGGGGGCGGGGAGAGGCTTCAGATTCCCTCTCCCCAGGCCCGGGGCCCAGGAACCCAGTGAGGGGCAAGAGGGTCCAGGGGCAGGAGCGCTGGGTTCTTGATCTCAGCTCGGCAAAGTCTATCCTGGGCTGCAGCGGGGCCCGCCCGGGCTCCTGGTCTTACCTGGCCCTGGTGGCGGCCGCGTCCCTCCCAGCCGGAGCTCCTGCCACCCTTCTTGAACTCCAAATCCCGGGTCGGAGAGCCAGAGACCTCAGGGTCCGCGCTGCCATCGAGCCAGGCCGGCGGGAGGAGGGTGCGACCCGAGCGCGGCTCGCAGTTTGGGGTGGGGGCGGTGGCTTTTCAGTCGCCCGAGGTTCGGGTGCAATAAAGGCGCCGCTAATGTAATTTACAAACAGCTCGGGCCGAGGACGGCGCAGCGCCCGGACTGACAGGCGCATTAGGCAGGCTAATTCCAGCCGGCTCCTCCTACCCCGGGCCCGCTAATTAATGAGCTTCCCAACTTAGAGCCGCCTGCATTGGACAGACAGAGAGTGAAAGAGAGGGCGAGGGAGAGGAAGAGAAGGAGAGAGACGGGGGGAGCAGGGACGAGAGAAGAGAGGGAGGGAAGGAGGGAGGGAAGGAGGGAGGGAGAGAGAACAGAGAGAAAGAAGAGGAGAAAGACAGGGAGAAAGCGAGAAGTGCCGCTGCAGATAATTGATTACTCCTCGATCAAGGCTAACTTGTTAGCAATAGTCAATTGCCCCGTCTCTCCGCCTCCCCTCGCAGTCCGGGATCGGCGCCCTCGCCTCGGCTCTTCCAACTGCCACCGCCCGCCTCGTCTCTCCCAACGCCCCCCGCCAGGACCCGGGGCCAGGAGCCGCCGCGGAGCCACCTGACACCTTTAAATAGCACCGGGGCTGGCGAAACTGGAGCCCCGCGCTGCGCTCCCCGGCTCCGGCCCCGGACTGCTGGAAGCCCCGGCG